ATCAGCTCAGTCAACACCAACATTACCTCCATCAGTTCAGTCAACACCAACATTACCTCCATCAGCTCCAACACCACCAACATTACCACTGTCAGCTCCAAAAACACCACCACCACCATCGACTCCAACAACACCACAGCCATCAGTTCAGTCAACACCAACACTACCACCATCAGGTCCAACAACACACAAAACACCACCACTGTCAGTTCAGTCAACACCAACACTACCACCAACACAGCCAACACCAGCATTACCACTGTCAACTCCAACAACAACAGTACCATAAGCTCCAATAAAATCAAAAGTAGTATCAGGTCCAACACCAACACTACCACCGTCAACTTCACCAACACTACCACCATCAGCTCAAACACCACCAACACTACCAACATCAGCCCCCATAACACCAATATCAGCTCCAACACCTCCAACACCACCAACATCAGCTCCAACAACACCAACATCAGCTCCAACACCACCAACATTAGCTCCAACAACACCAACATCAGCTCCAACAACACCAATATCAGCTCCAACACCTCCAACAACACCAACATCAGCTCCAACACCACCAACATCAGCTCCAACACCACCAACATCAGCTCCAACACCTCCAACACCACCAACATCAGCTCCAACACCACCAACATCAGCTCCAACACCACCAACATCAGCTCCAACACCACCAACATTAGCTCCAACACCACCAACATCAGCTCCAACACCACCAACATCAGCTCCAACACCACCAACATTAGCTCTAACAGCACTTCACCACTAATATCCCATCCCAGTCCAACATATCCAGTACTCTGGTAGGAGAGTGCCAACATTACTGGTAACGTCCTGCAGTGTTACAGCCGCACCAGTAAGCGCTGTGATAAATCCACACTCTGCTCTTGTGCTGAAACAGCCGAACAGTGAGAGGGAATATCTCTCATTTGATGTCCAGAGCGTCCAGAACAAGGTTAGACTCTGTTTTGGTGCCATCAAAGTGCAGCCAAATTCAAAGCTGTCATTGTTAAAGATGAAAGCTGAAGGTTTCTTTTCAAAAGGCAGAAAGATTCAGGCAGCTGAGATCAGAACCACTTTGCTGCCTGAGAACCCACGTACTAAAGGCTTTTAGTGACCTTGTTTACAACCGTGCAAACAAACCAGCTACATCAGTGAATCTCAGCCCTGCTGCTGGAGGCTGAGGCGCTCTGCTGCTCCAGCGTACCTGATCTGAACCCTTCATACGGAGCAGAAAGAGCTGCGGGACACGGCTGGAAACGCCGTTCCCTCCTGCCTCCTGCCTCTGCTGTCCGAGATAATCAGTGGAACAGCTTTACAGCCACTCCAGCAGCTCTTATCAGCAGGTCAGCCTCCTCAGCTGCTGTGAAATCTTTAAAGTCAGATCTCTCCCACGGTCCAGCCGCAGGGTCAGGGCACAACTTCACGTTCGGCCTGAGTGAGTTTCCCTCGTTTAAGCCGATAAACATCTGAAACACAACTTTCCTGCAGCAAGCGAGCTGTGCTGCACACAGCCTTGAAGGAGAACTCCACCCATTTTCCACAATCTCTGCGTAATTAAGTGTTTAAGATGTAATCAGAGTCGTTCAGAGTGGTTTGGTGTGAAACGCTCTGTTCTAGATAAACTTACCGAGTCAGAACTGTTCACAGTGGTGGTGATAGGAACCAGACGTCCACCTCTAAAAGCTCCCTCACAGAAAGTTCCTACATGAAATGGTTATGAATTCACTGCCTGATGACTGAGACACTGTTTTATGATAGTTTAGAGAACTTAAACTCCATTCATGGTGGAGGGATACATGCAGGGCGCTGTGAGGCAAAATAGTCCCCAAAGAAAACTTATTTCACATTTTCCACTATTTTCATCATCAACATTCATATAAACTCAGAAGACTCGTGTAGGTTCACTGGTGGTTCTGGATAGTAAATAAAATGTCTATATCTGTGTTGTAGTCATGGCGACCCCTGGTTCCCATCACCACCACTGTAAAGACATCTGAACCATTTCACACCAAACCTCTCTGAATCACTCTGATTACACCTCACACAGTGAGTTAGGCAGAAATTTTGGAAAATTGGTGGAATTACCCTTCACATAGTCTACAGTCTTAACAACCTCTCAGTAATCTTTATAAAAGGAATTACGGAACAACAAACAACAACAACAACAACAACAACAATAACAATAATAACAACAAAAACAACAACAACAACAATAATAATAATAATAGTAATAATAGTAATAATAATATAGTAAAGTGGTTGTCATAAATACATAAAGATTAAACTAATTAAATCTTGATCAGCCTCATCTCAGTAGTAAACGAGGCCGTTATCTCGAGATCTTTGTTAAACAGTGGTGTGATACAGGATCAATCACTGCTAATAACCCCACTGTAGTTACAGTCAGAGCTGGTCTCGAGCGCTCAGCGATGTGAAGACTCTCTATGGAGCCCCACTGGAACTAAAAGCCCTTAAGCGCGTGCTTGCTCTCGCGCTCTAAGTCCTACCTGGATCTCCGTGCTGTTGAGCGCGTGCAGCGGGAGTAACGCGCGCTAAAGCTCGCTCTCCGGCATCACCGGCTCAGCTCGCGCTCCTCAGAGCAGCAGGGGACGGAATGAGGAGCGAGCCGCGCGCGCCGCCAGGTCTTAAAGAGACCGGACACCCGAGCGCGAGGGGGCGGGGCCCAGAGGTGCGCATGCGCCGCATAAGAAAAACTCATTGCGCTGAAAACAGCGGCAAAACAAAGAAACAACCGCTCTGATTGGACCGATCTCCAAAATGGTCACTTTACAGGAGAAGGGAAAAACACACTGCACTTTTAATGGACGTCAATGGAACCAGACGTCTCATCCAAGTCATTTTGGGCCTTTTCTTTTGGTCCATTCATCATGACATTTACACACAATGTAAAGGGCAGCAGGTATTTTCACATTATGTCAAAAATTGAAAAATGACAAAATTGAAGATATGAGGTATATATATACATATATGAACATAAACAGTGTCCAAAAGT